GGTACTTCAAACGCGCTGTTAACTAGGTATAAACAAGTGAACGATTTATAAAGTAACATACATCAAAGGCAGTTGGCAAATGATGGCATTTATTCAGAATAGTTGAATACTCTGGCATACTTGAAAATTTTGATTTGTTTTACCTTATTATGTTTTACAAACAAAAAAGAGAAAAGCAGCAAGGAAATTAACGCGCTAACATAAGCGTTTTTGTTTTTAGATGATGTTCTCTAGGATATGTCAGCACCAGACTATTTGAAGTCCTGTTGCTATATGCACATTTGCACTCGGCTATCATTACATGGAATTTTAAGCAGGTGAGAAACAACAATGGCGTTCGTGAGTACAAGTAAAGTGAGATTTCCGTCTTCATCTGAACATGAACGTGAACTCATTGTGCTGACTTAAGATGCAAATTCTACGAAGATCAAGTCGTCTGTCAACCGGGCCCTTAAAATAGCCCATTCCCGGTAGTGGGGTATATACCCCCAAACGAGAATTTCAAAATACAAACACAAGTGGAAAATTTCCGGTCGTCGTGTCTTCCTTCGGAACACCCATGGACATACATGTACATTGTAGATCATATATAACCGTTATTATATTTTGGATAAACCTGCCAAGTTTTATTACAGTTTGCCACCTACTAAACATCTTAATGCCAAAGGTATAGCGACAATTTACAATGGGTACAAAACTTGATCTTAGGTTCGACAGCATGGCTGGTTTATAAATTTAAATGAGAGAATAAGACATGAAATAGAAATCCTTGATGCCATCAATATAAAAGTTTCAGGTTAACAGAAACAAGCCTACCGTCTACAGATAATGGTGTCTGATGCCGTACGGAAGCGTATAAGTCCACTTACAAAGGTTTTTTTGAGATACTATAAGTGGCCTTTCTACGCTTCCGAAGTCCAGAATAAAATTCTGGCAGGAAAAATCAAAGGCTCAATCCGGGGGGACACCTCAAAACCCTGAAGAATTGGCCCATTATGCTCTGATTGTAAATTCCCGTCTACCCCTGCACCAGTCGGCAACCGAGCAACTTAACAGCTCAAGCAAAGTGTGTTATAGGCGACCCAAACCTCATTTCTTGCAGATGGTTTAAAGGCGACGAAACAATTTTGCTTGAAAACTAATCAACGAGATCTAAATAAAAGTCGACCCGTTAAAACGAGAATGGTTTTTTTCAAGCGTCTGGTCTCACCCCTGCCTTACGACAAAGCCCAAATACCTAGGTCGTGATCTTACTAAAGGTTATGACGGAAATGCTAGTTTCAGGCCACACAAGACACAATACTGGCATTACGCCACTTGAAACTGCACGGGTCTCAAAAAAATTACAATGGAAATTACCTCTAACACTTGTATAGCTATATGCCAGACTAAACCTAACACAAACCCTGACAATCATTATTTTCTTTCTGTAACAAATGTGTGCCGTACTGCTTGCTATCCCATCCGATATTTTAAGAGGTTTGTAATTATTTAAGTAATATTTCTAATTTTATTATAAAAAGCCTCATTGTTCAATAGTCACAAGGGTTATGAGTATATTAAAATAAGCGAAAGTAATATTTCCAAACACAATACTTCCAAATGCGCAAATCGTACAGCAGTGGCTTCAACTCCAGGTGGAGCAGATTAAGGACCTTGCCCAGCAAGGACCGTCTACAGATTAAGGACCTTGCCCCTTTCTCGGAGCAGTATGGATTGATAATTTCTCCTTTGTCTTGAAACTTGTGTATTCTTAGCATATAAAGGACGAACCGTGTGATGTGCTCTTCAACACGAAATTCATTACTGTCTTGGGTTTTGTCAGTACGTCTTTGGATTGTCAGCACATTTATAACGAGGTTGTTTTTACAAGGCTTTAAGTGAAGAGGAAATAATCTTCTGAACAGCTTTATACACAGAAAAGCTCCTGCCGTCGCTACTCTGACGCATGCGTGCATTTCTTGATTTGCACCAACCTGAAGCCAAATTGATTGTATATGATCACACTCAATCCAAGAGTATAAGCACCAACCATAACCAAAGCCCAAGTTTCCTCGTTGGCCTTGGCAGTTAACCTTGATATAACATGTCTCCATAAGAAGGAGGAAATTTAGAAGAGCATGTCCTGTTGGCACGGAGAGGCGATTGGGTCCCAGACAAGCGGCAAGACAAAAAATACGAGCCAGCATCTGGCCAACGGCCAGGACTAAAAGGGAGTATGAAATGAAATCAGAGTGCATTAAGCCTATATAAACACGCAAACCTGAATCTAGGGAAGAGTTTCGAATACAAATTATTACCTAAAACGGTAATCCATTTCTACATTATCCTTCAGTTTCTGCATGAAGTTTGTTCAGAGTCTGACAGCCTTGAATCACGAAATGAAAGAAATCACCGAGCAGAGACCTGAGTTGTGGCATTGATCCCGGATAAACCATGTTCGATCTGGCAGTCGGCTTGGAAACAAGACAATGTAACTATACCGATGGCCAAATTATTTCGTTAAAGATCTCGATGGGAGCTAGAATGTTTCCAAGGGAAACTGCCATCGTTTTTAATCCTGGGATGCGTTTCTGTTTCTCATCAGGTTGTTGAACCCCGTTTTCCCGGCAAACACAAAGATTTACATTCTTAACCTTGGTGTCAACGGTGCGGGGATTGATATCGATAGATATCACCAAATTTGGTCATAACTTTTTCAATGGGCCAACTTGGCAAAGATTTTTTGTAATCCTCACCCCAGGCATACACGACAAGCTTGTAAACTCCCATTGGCTAGACCCCAACCGCTGCCGAGTTAAAATTCTTGAAAGATCAGTCACCCCAAGGAGCCCATTTGGTCGGTATCAGGAAATGTATCACTTTGTTGACAGACATGTACAGACTGGACGACTCTTTGGGTTTTGACCTGGTATTACTTCCACTTCCACAACAGAATAATGTAATCTAGTTAGAGGGGACTTCAGGAATGCATTAGCTATAATAAAACAGTCGCTTAGGTTCACGCATGACCGGGAACTGACCTGGAGACTACAATCGCCACATGGAAAAATGGTGTGTTTTAGGTGGCGGAGTCTGCTCGGAGGGTTTGAATATCCCTGACCCCGCAGTTTCAATAAGTCTTGGGAAAAAGGGGGAGGTGTTGAATTTCAAGTGGTGTTCACCAGATAACTAAAAGCATATACTCAGTCTGGATTTAATTACATATTGGTGGACTTTATTATCAAATTCAACATCATGTAAAATCTTGTTTTTGTACATACGTGGGGCTTACTCAGACTTAATTATGCTAAACCCTTCTACAACACGATAACACATTAGCTTGCTCTGCTATTCATGTGACTAAATTATTGTCAATCTTGTTTTCGAGTCACGAAACATCGAGTCCAAGTCCAAGTCACATTTCTCGAGTCTAAGTCATTTGCTTTTCCACGTCAATTCATAAAAAACTCGAGTCGAGTCGAGTCTGAGTAACGAGTCATACAAGTCTGATTACTGAAAGCAATAGAGATTGGACCAAAATAACTGCGAATCCATTAACTGCAACTTTTTTCATGCAACCTCATGGATAAGGTGTACGGAGCTTATAAGGACCACTTGCAAAAAGTTTCTTTTCGAGATGTTCGAGATGGCTTGTTACTATCTCGTCGCGGGGAGTTCATTTATCTTGCCGCGGCGAGTTCCTCTTGCCACGGCGAGTTAGGTACGACTAGCTCAACTCGCTGCCTTTTAAGACTCAGTCTGGATACCAGATCCAATGATTCAGACTACTCTTCAAATCAATGGTCCTGTATCACCAAGTGTCCACGTGACCAACACTCCTCCAGACTTCCAGAAATAGTCGAGCTATTCCGAACTTTTCCTGTCTATTTTACATTTCAGTTTAACGTCAACAATTTTCTTTAATGCTCCTCAAGATTGTAAAAGTTGTTATAAAGATTAAAATTAACAAAATTGGTATCAAAATGAGTAAAGGGAGAAGATAAAGACCATTCGGATGTAATTGGTAATGTTTGGGCAGAGCTAGGGTCGAAAAGATTGGAAATGTTTTGATAAATGGAAAACATTTTTTTAAATGGAACGTGTTTTAAAGCGAATGTCATTTAAAAAAATTCTTATTTTAAAAATTTGGAATAGATCATTCAAAAGCAGAACGAAGTGTTAAGGATCAAATACATTTTTTTATAGATTGGATGAAGTTTTAAAGAGGGGATGAATTTTCATTGACGCATAGACTCCAAGGAATTTTCAAAGAATGCATAGTTTTAAAAAGCCAAAATCTTTCAGGATTGGAACGAATTTTTAAAGTCCCAACTTTTTTCAGATTGAAATAAAATATCTTGTACAGAATAGACTGAACATATTTTGGAAATGGAAACATTGTTTTAATTAACGTAAAGCAGCTATTTGGTGCACGTATTTTACAGAAAATATCATGCCATCCTAAATTAGAAAGTATCCAAATTAACATAAATCCAAATTAATAAGCAACCACAAATAATAGCAACTTGTGAAAACTTCGTTAAAACAATCTTGGAAAATTATGCTTCCCTTTGTCAAAAAATATGCTTGAAGCACTATGAGGCTTTCGCAGAATACCATTTAAAAAGATCGAATGCTTTTTATAGGCGGGTTTGAATGCTTTCTTAATTTGGATGCTTTCTCAGATCTGATATTTTCTCGATTCAAATAATCTCTTGATTCGGAATAAAGTGGAATTTCTTCAAATACAAGCCGTTATACAAATATTTAAGCCGTTACGTTGTAAAAATGTCTAAATTTCGACAAAAATGTTTACTTTAATTTTTTTGTTCTATTTTTAAAGAATTTTGAACTTTAAAAATTCATTCAGTCCTAGAAATAACTTTGCATATATAAAAATTCATTTGCTCTTTAAAAATTCACTCGATTTGGAATCTAAAAAAAGAAAGGAGACACTTAAGATTTTGTTCTGTTTTTGAAAAATATGTACTAAATTTCTCAAATACGAGCTTTTTCAAAATGACATTCGCTTAAAACAGGTGAAATTGAAAACTAACATGCAATCAATTTAACAAAAACATGTTCCAATTTTTTGACCCTAGTTGTACTTTGTAGTAGATGGTGTACTACGTCCGGTATGCCATGCACGGACAGTTCACAAAATGCTTGGTACAGACGGCGCCGGAAATGCGCGAATCTTAACGAAACCGTCCGAATGGTCTTTTTCCTCTCCCCTTTCATTTGCCTACCAATTTTAATCTTCGTAACATTTTTTACAGTTTTAAAGAGCATTAAAGAAAAAGTATTGACGCTAAATTGAATTTAATAGGACATGATCAGATCGGAATGGTTCGGCTATTCCCGGAAATCTGGGGGAGTGTTGGTCACGTGGACGTTGGGTGATACAGGACCCTTGATAAGAAGAATAGTCAGAATCATTGGGTCTGATATCCAGACTTAGTCTTAATATGCAGCAAGTTGAACTAGTTTTAGCTAACTCACCGTGGCGAGAAAGTATCTCGAATGTTTTTTGCAAGTGGCCCGTATACGCTTCCGTAAAGGTGAATACTGTCTAACGATTACTGATTCTACGAAAAACGGGAAAACCTTATATACCCTTGAAATTAACAGTTATCACCTTACTTTATCTACGGTACTACACCCTGGGTATCACGTTTACGTAATGTGTCAGACGTGACAGAATGGTTTTGTAATATTTAAGAAATTTTAGGCGTGTATAGCAAAGAATGGATAAATGTCAACGCACCTTCACTATACCAAATCTTGTCTTCCTACACAGTGGCACTATCAATGAGGCTGAGGGGCGTGAGCCTCCATTTTGTCTTTCTGTTTCTTTTTGTTTCAGTTTCAGTTTTTGCTGTATTCGGCTTTTTCAAGAACGAAGATACTTGTACCGTTATTAAACTACTAGCTCTGATATAGCCGTAAATCCCAGTTCCGTGTGGCACAACCGGAGGGGGGGGGCTTGACCTTGGAGGATACATTCCGGTCCGTTCCGGTCCTCCCCTCCTGGGGGCGCCACTGTTCCTAAGGTAAACATAACTGCGAGGTTTTTAGCGTCATCTGTGTAATCCTTGGTAATATCTAATTAGCTTTTACTTTAGTTCTCTGGCTCAGAGACATTTCATACAAAGTCATGTCTTGTTTCTCAACCTGGATCTACTCCTTACAAGGCCAACAGTGAATTTTTTTTATGCCAGTGGGATGTCCTGTTTCCTTAAGAGTCATTGCCTTGTCCTTTGTCATTTCCTTGGAGAGGTGATGAAAGATTGATATTCAGCTTCTCTGGCTTCTCTGCAATGTGGTAAAAACGACGAAAAATACACTTTTACCAAAGCAGACCAAACCAAACTAGACAAACAAGCAAACTATAGCAACACTGAAACTATAAACACAACAAAACGATCAACAAGCTGTAAGCCCAACAGGGGCCATTCACTTTCGCACTTCTGGGCCAATGTTGGCAGTGTACACGATAGATTTTCAGTTTAATGTGCACACCCTTGACGGCAAAAGCGCTCACTTTCTCTCTAACTTTGCACTGTGGCTGCATGCAGCCACTGCCAGTTTGAAGCATGGCGGACACAACAGGAGGGCGCTATTTTAAGAGGGTGATTTTGAAATATCAGCATAAAAAATTTTACCAAACCCAAATAGCCCCTCCTTTTGTGTTCCTCAAACTTCAAATGGGTTGGAAGGCTTGTGTGTAATTTAGTGCTACAGCCTATGAATTCGGACAAGGCTTTATTCCAATCATCAACAATGCTTCTTTAACTTCACTCACCATAAATTTCACAGTTGGTTCCAGAGTACCTGTCAACGCACTTGCAGAAATACCCACTTTCAATACTGGCGGACCGGTAGCACGTCCCGGCAAGGCTGCAATCTTTGTTCTTACATGGGTGATCTACAACACACACAAAAAAAAAACACCCATACTCAAGTGCCTATGGATTTGTGTTGACTTGCGAACCCCAAGTTGACTTTATTGATAGCTCACTATAATTAAGCAGTTGAATGGTGACATTGAATTTCGTACGAAGGCTGGGAAACCCTTCGACGAGTGACCACGGCTTAAGCTGGGGCACACTCACGTAACTTATATCACATGACAACAATGAAGCAAGAGATTTTTTAGGGGTGGGGTGGAAAACCCTTTTCCATTGTATTTATTTGACAAAATACTTATGAAAAGAAGACATAGATGCAGATAAATACTAAGAGTACCTTCTACAGGGTGTTTCAAAAACGTATACATATAGACAACTGTCACAAAATTAAAGGTTTTTTAGTTTCCTGAAATCTTTTAGCGTGTACCAATAGACCAAAATTTCTTGTTTTGTTTACCATCACATCAATTATTAGCCGTTCTGCATGATGATCACAGGCGATTTACTTTTTTCAACTTTAAATTGGCTTGCACACAGAGTTGAAAGGTTAAAACAGAATTACAGACCGTGATTGAAAACTTGGGGCCTGCATATTTCAAATCTTTTTGTATTGTTGCTGTCTTTTATGTGAATCGGGAATATGGTCGGTACTGGGTACTTTCTGGGGGAAAATTCAAATGTCTTGAAAGTTTTTGAGCCACTAGCTATTATGCTACTTCTCTTTGCGGGTCTGAGTTAAGCGTTCCTATCGCAGAATATACGTGTAGTGTGGATTACTTAATTGCCTTATAAAGAAATGCTGTTGAGATGTTTGAATTCTGTTAGAGGCAAATAGTGGTTCTTTGTATTACGCCAGTCGACCTTTGGAGTTTTTCAATTATTAGTGGTGCGCCACTTTTGAAACCAAATCATTTTTGACTTACTCAAGTTGCAGCTAGCTCCATCTGGCCCATCCTTGCAGACGCACTGATAGCTGGTCTGGAACTGACGACAGCGTTCACCCTCTCCGCAAGGCATGGAGTCTGCACAGCTGTGATCGGTAGAGTTGTCTGGAAATCATAGCCAGACCAAAAAGCAAGACATAAGAAACATTATTACCTACAGGTACTGTGGTAACATCTTACATTTTGCTGACACTGGCCACGCGTTTACACACCATGCTGGGGCGCAACGGTCAGTGTGCTGTTAATGGCATTTGTGTTGCTTCTGCTGCCTCCAATCTCGAATGATCCAGTCGTCGTAGTCTTCAATTCTTGTACCGCTATACCTTCAATAAAGACACAAGCCTGGGGGTATTTCCCCCGTAAACCTACCGCTATAAATGTGCAAGCCTCCAGCTTTCGTTAGGATGAGCGGTCCCATTCCTTCGACACCCATGTCAGGAAGGAAGTTCATGCGGAAGAGTTGAGGGAATCGCCAATCCGTCCAAAACAAGTTGTCTCCGTACAACCAGACGTCAAACGGGTGGATCTCAATAGGGTCTACGTCAGCATGGATACGACGGTCATCACCGAGCAGGTCAGTAGACTCGAAGCGGTTCAGCCCAGCATCACACCAGTAAATTCTTCCACCTAAATAATCACCAGAAGAAACCCACACGCGCTAATACCAATACTGCAGTGTTGAATTGGTGTTCAAGAAACCTCTAGGTATCATATCCCGACAAGATAACTCATACATCCGTAAACGGATATCGAAGATGTTAACTGTAACAGCAGTTTTCACGTTTTGCCATCTGCACGTACTGTGAGAGGTAGCTTTGATTCTCCAACGTCGCAAGTTGGCTCTGCGAAAAAAACCTCGCAACTTATCGGCTGCGTTCATGATGCATGGGCACCACGTGACAAAAGTATGAACTATTGAGACATCAATTCTGTAGTATGTGTATTTTAAAGATGGAATATTATTGAGGAAATCTCAGGCCTCATCATCAGGTCACCTGAAACAAATATGAACCCCAGAGGCGAAAACCTTTTTCAAAGTTGCCCGACCTCGGACGCACCTGTGGGTTTCTTAACGAGGGAGGAACATATCTGTGAACCCAAACCCCTGGCAAAAATGATTCCATGTCTCCCTTGAAAGTCAGCTTGGTGTTTGTTTTGGAATATGTTTTATGAAGCTCATATTTTTACCATCATCCTCGGTCTTCTTCAGGGGTGTGTTACCTTCAATGTCCAGAGTTAGTCCACTTGGCCACTTGAGGTCTGTGTCTACCAGAACTTGGCGCGATGTTCCATCGGTGTTTGCCCGTTCAATCTTGGGTGAACTGCCTACCTCTGTCCAGTAAAGGTAGCTAGAATGTTACAAAATAAAATACACACTGAATCGGTATGCACTGCCAAAAAATCGCATAGAGCAAAAAATTGCCATACTGAGAAAAAATATAAAGATTGTCTGAGGTCACAGAATATATAAGATAGTTTGTTGGACTTAAAAATTGAACATCTTTCTTTGTCAGACTGACAATTCGTCTTAGAAAAATGGATGAATTTGAGCCATTTTCAGACACGCTTTATTTCTTGTCGGTGTTTTGGTCCTCGTCATATTCCTGTATGCTTGCGAGTCATGGACCTTCATAGAGGAATTGCAGAGAAAGATCCATACAACAGAAGTGAAATGCTTCTGCTAGTTACTAAAGCATCTCTAATTGGTCCATATATACAAGAATATCGGCAGATCGCGCAGGACCCTTTAACTACAGATTTACAGACAACTGTGAAATTAAAAAGGGATAACTGAAACGGTACAGCTACGTCACAACATCTGACGGCCTTGCTAAAGCAATCCTGCAGGGAAACATTGAGGATAAAAAGAAGCAGCGGCAGGCAGATGAAGTAACAAGGCAGGCAACATTGAGGGGTGCATCGGCAAGTACTTCGCAGATACCCCGGCACATGCACATGACCGCCAGAATTTTAAGTCTTACCTGAGGCACCCCACGACTCTTTAGGTTTAGGGGTCAAGGCAATGCAAGACAGAGATTTTAAGAAATCTTGCTTTTGAATATTTACCTGTTCTTTGAATCAACAATGATTGCTCTTGGCATCACATCCGAAATGGAACCATTGGTCAGGTTGAGAACCACGGCTCGATCCTGGCCGTCCATTGTAGCTCGCTCAATAAGATCACTGCCTGAATCGGTCCAATACATCACTCGGTTCTCAATGTCAAGACTCAACCCATCTGGATCTGCAGCGATTTTGTTGCAATATTTATGTTGAATTTGCAAGCACTGCGACAAAATTTATTATTGAACATTCTGAAAAAGTGGTAGCAGCATAGAATAATTTTTTGTATAACTTTATAAATCAGGGGTGTCAGTATCATCTTTGGGCTCTATTTTAGGGCATTACCACAGTTGGAAATTTATTTTTTCCTCACGGTCTTGCGCTTGAGAACAAATTACAAATCCAAAATGCAAGTATTCAAACAGTAGTAATTTCCAAAATTAAGTAACATCCAGACTTTAGCTGAGTTATAGAATTCTAAACACGCCAAGAATCCTCTCATAGAGTACTGCAGTTTTGCTTACTTTTCAGTCCCGATATAAGAACCAACAGGCCGGTACCATCCAGGAGGGTGCGACTGATGGTTGAAAGTGTGACGTCTGTCCAGTACACCATGCCATCGACGGGGTCGTAGTCAATAGCAACGGGTCGGCTGATTTTTTGGTCGAGAACTGGGATTTCGGTCAAATTGAAGGTGTCTGTCGGGGCCACGAAGATTCCCGGGGGGTCTAGGTTGGCCACAAAAACCAGATCATGGGGCTCTAATATAAAACAACAAAAGTAAAAAATTCAACATAGTGAATGTATAATGTCATCAATAGCTGATGCTCTCAAAAATGATTTAGGAAGAAAATAGAAACAGTTGCACTGAAGAGCTTGAGTACGTTGAGAATTGTTCGATAAATTATGATGTTATATATGGTTTACTCACTGCTTTCATGTTCACAATTTTCCCAGACGTACCCAGAGGGGCATTCACACCGGTAGCTGTCAGGTAATTCAACAACGCACCTTCCATCATTCATACACGGGTTACTTTCACAAGGAGACACTGTTGACAGATATACAAAAGACTGCCAGGAAAATATTGGCCTGCTAATTGTAAATGATTGATCTTTTGCGACCATGCTGATCTTCAAAACATCGTGGCAGGCAGTCTAACGGAAGGCTCAACCACATTTAAGAATTTTCACTTCAGAAATCTAAATCTAATTTGGACTCAATTAGTCCATTATTGACAATTCTGTGTCACTTAACCCCATGCAGACATTGCGCCTGAGATCTACTGCAAGGGTCTGGCTCCAACAATGCAAGATTACACGATATGAAACTTCTACTTTGATTTCGTGAGTGGACACAACAGGCATTCTCATTATTCTCCAGTGTAGTTCTTGGTGAAAAAAAAAACAATTTGCTTGAGCAAAATTTTAGCAGTCTAGGTGAGGATTGCGCTCATGAGCAGAGAGGTGTATCATTTTGTACATACCAAATGTTTCGCATGACTTGCCGGTGTATCTATCGGTGCACTGACAGAAATAGTCCCCGTCTGTACTTGTAGACTGGAAGCATTTCCCTTCATTTTTGCAAGGTGAGGATGCACATGGATTTTCTACGTGGCAGAAGTCAACGATAGAATGACACAGACTAAATGTTACATAACCAACATTAAAACTGATTTGTATGAACGCTTGAAATCGTACGAGTTTCTGAAACTTGTGATGAGCTATATGATCACATTTTTGTTATCTGTTCCAAATTAAGACATTACAAATACAAAACTACTAAATTTACTAGTACTTAGAGTCAAAGAAAGGAGGTGGTTAGGTTGCACAGGTTGTTAGTTGAGACATCAATATAAAAAACTGCTAGGCGAAACACCTTCAATGAAACTTAGCCAATGTTGTGTAGCATACTTGACACTTCTGGAATAGTGTTACGTGGGTGGAACTGCTATTCTGTCCACCTTGCCGCGCTCGATATAGTTGGTCTCAGGGAATCGTCGTCAACGCTTACGCCGTCATTTATTTTAGTTCACGTATTAAGGGGCCGTCCATAATTCATCATTTCACGAGCGTAGAAAAAGTACACTTTTCACTACCCCTCCGCCCTCAAAGTGTACATCAGGGGGCAAAAAATGATCATGATGGATGAAGGGCTCCATAGGCCAAACCCCCTATTGCCGAGGTACAATGATACATTTAAGTAGGCCTATTGTTATTTTAACAGAAAAGTAAATTTGAAACAAAACAATGTTCAAAACAACATCTTAATAGTCGAGGCTTGAAAGTAGTGAATCTGGTACTTTGTGGTACAAAGGAAGCGGCCCGGAACTAGCTAGCAAACACCTGTGAAATGAAAGTGACCACCGATTCGCACGTTAACTGATCATCACTTTTTCATATTCAGAAAAAGCGTACATGAGGTCTTTAACCCCCTCCCCTGTAAGGTTTGTACGCGCATGAAAATAATAATTATGGACGGCCGCTAGGTCTTCTTCAATGTGAGTTCGATGTGTTTATAAATAATTTAAAACAGAGATCACTTTCGAGGATTTCCTTCCTTAGCGTAACACAAAAATAGTTTATAATATTTCACGAAATGTGAAATGCTTTTGTTTGTTGTCGGCGACATTTTTTTTTTCAAATTACTGCATACGTATCTGGACTTAGCTGTGTAACCTGGACGTCTAACGAATCTGAGACTACAACTCACCTAGCTTACAGTTGGCCCCCGCCTCGCCATCCTTACACACACACTTATGGGTGTACTTGTATTGACGACACCGTTCACCCTCTTTGCATGTCATTGGATTTCGACATTCGTGAGCTGATAGCGTGTCTGCACAAAGAAGACTCCAAAACTAAACACTCTGAAGTCCTCACTTCTTTTTTCAGGAAAACTTTTGTGTTGAATAGCACAAAGAGATCCGAAGTAATGTTATCATTTCTTTTCTTGCCAAACATCGATTCACATTTATTTACTTGAAAGCATTGGGTTCCAGACACCATTTCCATGGGAACTCGGACATACAATATACGTTCTTGATTTTAGGTCCACTGAACGAGTATAGGTATGCCCCAGTAAGTTCACATTTCAAATTCTTTTTGAGCAATAAGCGTGGAGGATGTATTTTAAGCAAGTCACGATCTGCATACCGGCATAGGGTACATGTACATACCAGCATAGATGTGCAAGCCCCCGGCTCTCAAGAATGTTGTCGAGCCAAATAGGGCAACCGGAGTTGTAGGAATAAAGTCCATACGGAGAATTGTCTTAAAGCGCCAGTCAGTCCAGTACACGACTCCCCGGTGAAACCAGATGTCGAACGGATGGATTTCTTCCGAGGAGAGCTCAGCATGGACACGGCGATCGTTGCCGAGGAGGTCCGTGGACTCAATGAGGTCCAGCCCAGCATCACACCAATACATTCTGTTGCCTGGATTGTGAGGTACAAAGTAACTCCAAGTTTCAATGTACATGAAGTAAAAGTGATGGCTTTCAAATTGTACAAACAAAGTTTCTCCTTACGCTATCAAGTTCCAGTTGATGCATGACCCTGCATTCCAAGAAGTGAAAAAGACAATTGAACCACGATTTAGAAGTCTGATAGTGTGCGGGCCTGAATTACAAACATTCGGTTGATAAATCTCTTCAGTGTGTTCACTCTACAGTGTGTTTTTGGACAGACGTCAAAAATCAACAGCAGCATAGGGCTAACGCATAAAAGGATGTTTTAAATGCATACAAAGTTTCTCAGTAGCAGCGCAAATACCAACATTAAATTAAATTACCATTAACCTATTAACGATGTTGAACTAATTTAGAGCAGTTGGGACTTGTCACAATACAATGACTGAGAGTTAAAAGTTGGACCGTAAGAAAGTAGCCTACCTCTTCAAACCTTGCCACTGTTTTACGACATTTACACCTATTACATCATATACCTTCTAGGTCTAGTGCCACACCGTTTGGCAGTTGCAATCCAGTGTCTACGAGGACTGTCCTAGACGAACCATCAATGTTGGCGCGCTCAATCTTCGGTGCACTGCCCCAATCTGTCCAGTACAGATGACTTCGGAAGTAGTAACAGACAAATGAAATGCAACTGTTAAAGTTTGTGGTTTTTCAAAATATAAACAGACGGTTCGCTTTGGTATAGTTGTATTCCCTGTTATCACACGTGACCTATTTTGGACTCCACCGTTTACACAAATGGTTAAAGATTTAAAGAGCACCTCCAAGTAAAACATGTTCTCTCTGAATTTATCCGTTCAAATAAATATGGAAGCATCCGAATCTAACGCAGTGTCATTTGTCTTCAGAGCTCAACTAAAACAAACTTATATAACGGGTTTTGCCCTTACCCAACGTATATATTAAATACATAAAACATTAAATATATATGTAAAAAATATGTAAAAATACATCTTGAAATAGTTCGCGGTACTTACTGCTTCACCTGACTCGGACCGGCCAGCCGACCCCGGCAAGCTCGGTGGTTAAGACGTCTACACTAGTAAGCAGGAGGTCGTGGTTTCGAGCCCCATCCGAATAAGCTTGTGACTTTTTTCGCAAGCTCTCGGACAAGCACTGAGCATACAGTGTTTATTAATATATACGTTGGGTAAGGGCAAAACCCGTTGTAGAAATTAACATCTCCCCAACGCAAAATTACATCTTGAAAATAAAACAACCTTAAAAGCTTTTTTTCTGTTCATGTCAAGATCCAAATTCTGAATGTAAATTGCGTCGTTTAGGAGGAAACAGAAAAAACGAGGGAACCCTCTCCCTGTGTTCTAAGTGGATGCCAAACAATACATCTAGCTATTGTTTGGCATGTACAAGGGTTTATCAAGAGATACTTCCATATTTATTTGAACACATTAAATCAGGGAAAACGTGTTTTCCTTAAAGGTGATACATTAATGAGAGGCTTCTACTCTACATTCCCTAAAATTGTTTCTCAAACCAAAGCTCTCGTGCCTTGCCCCTTCCAAATATATTGTCATTTTTTAATTAATAGATTCTCCCAATGAAATATTTGCATTCATATCCCTATGGTACTGTAAACGAACTGACAAAAAAGACTGTAAATGAATAACTTTAACATACCCGTGGGTAGTGTCAATGACAATTGCCCGAGGCTTCACCTCATCTATAGATTCATTTTTCAGGTTGAGGACTATTGACCGATCCTGACCGTCCATGGTAGCCTTCTCGATCAGGTCAGTAGCCTCATCTGTCCAATACATCACCCGGTTAACGACATCAAGGCAAAGACCATCTGGAACTATACCATACAGGGGAAGAGAAGGAACTCGAAGACTTAGTTGGTATGTTAGTTCAGCTGTATGTTCGTAAGCGAATATGAGAGAACTCTACATCCAGTTTTAATTGATCTTCAATCTGAAATTTCCTGAAATCCAAATCCTCTTTTAAATTCTCATGAAAATAAACTCAAAACAATGCATTTTCTCACAGAATGTACCCAATGCTATTGAAGAACTGCTGTGCGTCACATCGTCGTGAATTTTGAAATCTTTATCAGATTTATATGCCTAGTTAGATTTCCGACCCGCTTACCCTTTAGACCAGAAACGAGGACTATGAAACCCGTCCCATCCGAGAAGGCTCGACTGATGGTATTATGCCCAACATCTGTCCAGTACACCATGCCATCGACGGGGTCGTAGTCGATAGCAACGGGTCGACTCAGGTAATCGGTGAGACCAGTGATCAGAGTGAAATTGAAAGTGTCCGTTGGCGCCATGAAGATCCCAGGAGGCATTAGGTTAGCCACAAAGGCAAGATCGTTTGGGTCTTAACAGGGAAAATAAGAAATATGAAAGATGCAAAGGATGTAAATGAAGCGATTTCAAACATCCTACAGGTTCACAACATTGAGCCCTCGATACTGGTAGATAACTCGAGTGAAGGCGTCTTTTCACATGTACGTTTTTGGGGTGGGTTGCGTAAATAGTACGCTCATGCGTTTCACTTTCACGGACAAAAACATCGACTGCATAAACATGCGGTATCACACTTGTTCGTTGACGTTCGGCAGTCAAAATCGCCTTGGAAGCGATTTCGATGGATACGGAACACTTTGCGCAAGCGCTGACGAACATATGGAAAGGCGCCTTTACTCGAAACAACGTTGTATGCGCTCCAGAAACGAATTTGATTTATTTATCAATTATACCCACAGCTTTTTCTTTCGCAGGTTGTTCCAACGAAGCCAGCGGTACATTCACATCGGAAGCTATCTGGCACCTCGTCAAAGCATGTTCCCCCGTTCATACACGGACTAGAATTGCACGCAGGCACTGAAACAAGCGTAGGCAGTACGCAAACAGTTTAAGTATCGGTTGAAGCAAGGAATTAATCTCCCACCGCTTCGTGGGAAATGGGGGGTGCTTATACCATCAGAAAAACAATTGAAAGATGTAAGAGTAATAAAAAAGACGACAGAAAATTTTAAATAGAAATGGAAAGGTGAAAAAGGCTAAGAATCATCATTTCGCTTTAACCCCCTGTAATCCCTCCCCCACTGGTGTTTCAGTCCCATTAGAAACAAACCCTGAAATTACCAAGATGTGAGAGTCAAGGGAAGGGAAAGAAAAATACTTTTCAAAAGCTGATTTAATTTCACCGTGGGGTCTTCAATCGTTGTGACATCTACCGACTCAAGGTTTGTCGAGTGTAATCAATTCAAGAAGAAATCTTAAGAATGCGGGATACATTAACCCTCTTTTCGTGAGTTTTTATGAATTCAAGATAATCGTAAGATCTGTCAGTTTTGCACTTAAGGGCGAAACTGTTATGGACATAGGCCGTGTTTGAATTGGGTATACTTTCAGTGGCTATGACTTAGCTTTTATATATAGCACACCACGGACGAACAGCGGGAGCCCTATGCATCACACCTGTTTCGTCCTCATCTCTTCCACTCTACGATTTACCTACCAAATCGCTCACAGTAGGTTCCCATGTATCTGTCAGTGCACTTGCAGAAAAAGCCACCTTCAAGCCGGGAGGACTGACGGCAGATGCCTCCATTGTTGCATGGTGAAGATGCACACGGATTGTCTGAAGGGAATAAGACACAGAGCAAGTTTATTGGCCTGTTGGGGTGTACGGGTGTTTGTTTGTTGGGTTGTTGGGTGTTTGCTTGTTTGTTTGTTGGTTTGTTGGGTTTTTTTCTGCTGCTCTCGGACGTAAGAGAAAGTCTGAACGTATGCGTAGAACAGCAAAGATCACAGTGACTTTCGCCGATTTTGCAACACTGTAAAAACTCGGGTGTTAAAATCAACACTTTTTGGTGTTATCCGATGACCACAATATAGGGTTTACTTTAACTCTGATGATGTTACTTTGCACACCTATAAGTGTTACAGTGCATTAGAAGGTGTTACAAGTAACACCAAATAACACCAAAATTTTAACAACAGTGAAAAGTGTTGGTTTTGTCTTCTGATAACACCGCGGGTGTTAAATTTAACACCCCAGTTTTTGCAGTGAATGAGCACAATATTCGTCATTAAAAATACTATATATACCTGGGTTACTGCATTGCGCTGGGATATATACTTTTTTATAAGCAGATGAAGTTTAGAAGATGCAGGACGCCATTAAACTTTTGCAGTGATTGACAATTATAGATACAACCCTCACGGATGACTATTCAGTTGGATATAACGACAGGGTTGGGTATTCCAAAGTGAAGCACGTTCAAGGTCATTCAGAAACGCTCGTCAGGTCTGCCCTATCAGCGCAGCCCTATCTGGCGCGTGGTTTCCCCAGAATGACCTTGCGTTTGTGAAATACCGAATTGGCTCATTAAACTATCACTTGATACAATGAACGTTGAAATGACGTACTGGTCAAAATCTGTTGTCAAACTTAATATCTAGCTATCATTTCACACAGAAGTGTGACTCATTAGCAGAGCCAAGTACTCCACTTAGTAGCTCACCGAGTTTGCAGAAAAGTCCAGCAAAGCCGTCTTGGCAGACACACTCGTAGTGGTCCTGGAACTGTCGGCAACGCTCCCCAAGCTTGCAAGGCGTCCTGCCAAAGCAGCTGTGATCCACGAAGGAATCTACAAATGCAAATAAAGGATTCCACAAATTTCAGTGTTGTATTCAGGGTGTTTTTTTGGGGGGTTACGTTTCTAAAAACGGAGGTTTTTTTTTTAAGAAGAACAAACCTCTGCGAAAGGTGGTATGTGTGCATTTTGACAGCTTGAAATTTGGCTTCAAAAATGCCAGCATGTCTCCACGGGCAACTTGCCGCATGTCCCTTGCTGGATACCCTACTGAAAATTCTAACTTCGGGATTGGCCACTCATTGATACTGCTAAATACGTGAAATGCTTTCTGACTTTTACAACGAGGGTCAAACGAAAAAGGTGATTGTAAACCATAATTTAATTAGGTAAGATTCATTTACCGTCGTGAATATGCAGTCCTCCTGCTCTTTCGAAGCCGGTGGACCCATGCAGACTAACCACTATTGGGTTGAACTGCATACGGACAAGCTTCAAAAAGCGCCAATCGCTCCAGTATAATTGACCTTGATAGAACCAGACGTCGAAGGGATGGATGTCGAACAGCAGGCTGATGATGTTATTGTAAAACGTCCGGGATCCTCCGTTGAGGTCAATGGATTCTAAACGGTCCAGTCCCGCGTCACACCAAAACAGCCTCCTGCCTAAAAATTCAAATTATTGAAAGTAAACTCTTTCAAAACAGTTTTGGGCAGAGGGCTATTGTGTGGAGATTGGCCAACATTCTATTGAACTTTTCGTGAATGGCTTGATCATGTATCAGGCTTGTCGACATACCATTCGTGTCCAAAGCTAACCCATTGGGCAGTTGAAGATTAGTGTCGACCAAGACTCTGCGGAGCCTGCCGTCGGTGTTAGCTTGCTCAATCTTCGGTGCACTTCCCCAGTCAGTCCAGTAGAGACGGCTGACAAATGAAGCAAAACATTGAAATTCGTTTTTGTTTGGGATAGCACCTCAACAAAAAGATTTACAGTGGAGAAAGCGGAAACACAGACCCACACTTAATGCATAGATCTGCCGACGTTGGCAATTGGCATTCCAGTTCCAGTATTCTGCAGGGTAAGGAGCTCGCTGTATACGACTGCAATGCAACACAAAAGTCCTTCTGTTAAGGTTGACTAAAATTTCTGTTCAAAACGTATATATAAATAGAAAATGTGGGAAACTATGGGGTTTGCACTATCTTTGGACTCTAGCTGTTGACGGCATTGCATTTGGATCTTCGTCTTTGATTGCGTAAAGAAAAGAAAGCAGCTTACAAATTAAGTACCTCACCCAAAGATTTCTGTTTTTATCTTCTTTTTTATCTACCTTTGTAATATAATGTTTTCAGATACTATGAAGTTACGGTAGTACAGAATTACTCATTGCTGGTGTCTACAACGATTGCTCGCGGCTGGACTGTGTCCACGTCCTCAGTTGGACTTCTGAGATCCAGAATCACGGAGCGATCAAGTCCATCCATGGTAGCTCGCTCAATCTGATCACTGCCTGTATCAGTCCAGTACATCATGCGGTTCACAGTGTCAAGACTCAATCCATCAGGGACTAAATATAACCAAATGAGAACCACTATGTGTAAAAATTATAACCGGTGCTACACACTGGGTTAAGAACAGCATGATTGTTATGGATTGGTGGCCTTAGCATGCAGTGCTGATCATCGCATTTCGCCCGCATGATGTACGGAGACGCAACATGCAATCCAGTCTTGGGCAAAACTTGTAGAATTCTGGTGGGGCATTCTTTCTTGGGTCTGTAGCTACATCGTCGCGTCGTGCCGTCGCATTTTCAGAAAATCACGTAAATGAATTTCCGTTTCTTCGCCAGGAGGGCGCTGTTGATTGCTCTAAGTGCGATGCATATCATTGTCTTCAATATAAGTTGCGGTGCTTTTGACAAGTTCAAGTTGAATATAATTATGCTCAAAGATGAAAAGGTTGACAATGCGATGGCACGACGAGAATATGCGTAGAAGGTACGTAGCCACGAGACGTTTGTGGGTTCGATACTACAGATCTCAAAGTGCAGAACTTATCAAAATATGGACCGAGTGTAGGCCTAAACCGTCTCGAGAATATAAAGATAATCTAGGCCTAAAGGACCTCACCTTTAAGATTCGATACAACAACGTAAAAGCCGGTTCCATCTGGAAAGGCGCGACTAATAGTTTCACGCCTGACATCTGTCCAGTACACCATGCCATCAACAGGGTCATAGTCAACGGCAACGGGTGTGCTAAGGTGATCGTCCAAGCCAGGGATGGCAGTGAACTCAAAGGTGTCTGCCGGTGCTTTGAAAATCGCTGGAGGGTCTAGGTTGGTCACAAACACCAAATCGTATGGTTCTGGAGGGAATTGGGGAGCATACAACCATCACTTTTGCTGATTGACATCAATGACATTTTCACTTTGATCTGTCATCTTTGGTTGTTGCTCTAACAATGACCACAACCAATATGGAAATTTCTTTGAAATTTTCCCCGAGAGAAATCACATTTAAAGCAATGTTTTAAGGAATTTCTATGCCCCCTGCCTTCGTCTTCTGAGCAAAAATCCAAGCACTGAGTTCAATATATTGTATAACCATAGAAGAAGGACACAGAAGGAGTTTGAACTACCCGGGCTAAAACATCTGGCCGATTACCACTTTCTGGCATGCCCGGTATGTCCATAGCCAGAGCGCAGCGCACGCCTGCTACCCGTCACATGTTTTGTAACCATAAGCTCCCTTTGTACCCCATGATCGTCGCCGCAATTTTTCGTTGGTAATTTGCATCCCTAAAACGTTGTGTACTGCAGTATAGGAAGTTGAATATTCATGCCATCGTTGGTGCTTGATATGATCCGACAACATCATCAAATGTAGTGTTTGCGCGATTGCTTTTATTAGGCTGTATACCCGAAGTGTTCATGTGCAGTTGTTGCCCTTATCGAACGCTTTCTTCTGGTCCTCTTTTAGGAATAAATAGCCAAGCTGTTTGTAAGATTTTGTGTTTTGTTTGAATCTTTTTTGTAACGGCACTTGTACAAAGGCGTATTTTATGAGATTTAACGATCACTCCCTGCGATGAAATACCGCATTTTGTTCCTAATGAACTAAGCTTTCCAGTAGTAGTGAACATTTTGTTGGCCAGTCTTAGCCAAATTCGTTCCAAGTCTTTGACACTGATGTATATTGGACAGAGGAGACTACAATTACAAACGTTGCATGGATAATGAAACAGTGTATCAAAATTTAAAAAGTTTATTTATGATGGCAAAAGTAGGTCTAATATGAGGAATTTTTCTCTCTCTATTTCCTGGTCACATCGATAGTTTGTATTTAATTGCAAGCAAAAAATTACAAATTACAAGTACTGCCAGGATATTACTGGCCCCGCTTGTCTGGCTAAGATGCAGGCAGCAATAAGGCATTTTTGGAATGTTTTCTATTATTCATCAGACGCTGCGGCGACTATCACTGGACGCTTTGAAGTGCGTGAGTTCCAACTCCTCCTGTATCCTTCCTCCATAGTATAACCATGAAAGAGTGGACATGTCGGCATAAATAACTGGGATGTGTCAACAGTTCTTCCTAAACTTTGACACACACACGCCCTACGTGTCTTACGAATTATTTCACTAATCAAGAAGTTTAAACCAAAATAGAAATATGCTGACTCAAATATCGGTATTGCATTAGTTTGCCAAATAAGGTTGGCTTGAGGTCAGATTGAATTTTGCAATGCATTAAAACACAGTCAGCTTATGAGTCAAAGCACAGATGAACAAACTTTAATGCCCACAATCAGCAGACAAGGAAGTAAGACAATACAAAATGACATCAAAGATCACTGACAATTGGCTTGCATAAAATTTCACATTACGGAGCATGTGTCTCTCTCTTGAAACAACGGCATTGTAAATCCAACTAAGGCAGTGTCTTGAGGTCGAGATGCCCGGATTTGAGGCAAATATCATGTTAAAACATAATGGTAACGAGCTGGTTGTCAAAAGTATATGTGGGAAATTTTAAAAAGAAGTAACAAACTTCATCTCCGTAAAAACAAAGACGTACTTGGGGTAAGCTTGCTTTCATAGATCTACTTTCAATAGCCGGCATTTGTTGCCTTTTTGTGGGCCTATTGTAATGTTACGTTTGCATGCAAGAAAGGAACGAGTCTGCAAGGTCCGAAAATTGAATAAACTTAGTCTCTCACCACTTGTCGAAATAGAGCAGTCACTGTTGGCTGCAAACCAACTCAGGACGATGAGCGCCATTTGAAAAGATCGGCGCGATAGTCCTTTGGCGTTCATTGCAAATGTTTCGCTGATTTGTCGTCCGACAGTAAAGTTCAATCCAACACACCAAGAAAATATATCTCATCCAACAAGGAAATAATTCCTTCCCTGCGTGGCTTTTATAGCTACGTCCCTATCCTACGATGAGAAGAGTTCCTTTTTTTCCAGCAGTACCCTGGAAAGCGTGTCAAAGTTCCAGGCAGTACGCCAAAACCTAAGCATGTATGTAGATTCCAGATCAATTTGATTCCAGCTCAATCTGATTGGACGCAAGTTTCTTGCTCACAAGTCTAGAATATTCTCGGTACAGCGACAACTCTTATTGGCCAACGCTGACCAGATCACCGACCGATGAATAATGTAAAATTATTCCTGTTGCACAGGAGGCGTAAAATTTTGGTTTTTTTTTTAGAACTGTATCTACAGTTTACATCTGGCAAGAGTCCAGAGATAGCCAAATGTCACTTGGCCGCTACCCCATTCTAGAGGCATGTTATTATAGAGCCCAGATGGCCCCTGATGACGCGCTTCCAGAACAAAATTACAGATTCTAAAAATTTTAGAAATTGTAATATTTTTTCGGTCAGTTACTTCTTAAAAAATCAAACTCGGAAAAACAGCTTTGGAAAAAATTCACTTGCATATCAATTTATAGAAACTGAAGAATTACCCCACTTCAAAGAGAAATATCCTGCCAAAAATTGACTTATCACTTCCAAAAATCTATAATACACGAAAACAAGTGCAATGCTGTGGTCCCGTACGCAGATGAACATTTACAGTTTGAAATTGTATGGTAGTCTGTCGGTAAAAGCCTAAATTAGAATAGATAAAATATTTTACAGACTTTTTAAATTCATAAGTTAATAAACTCAAAGAAATGATCTATTTTTACGAAAGATTAGAATATTTATCTAACCTGTGCTGACAAAACTGTGTCATGTCAACTCAATGGAATCTGGAACCCATCGACTGCAGGTAGGTAAATCTTTGCAACGCTGTACAATCTCGTTTTCACGGAAGCACGGGGAGTGAAAGCAAATGTGCATAAAGAAGGAGCCCTAGAGGAACGATGTCGCCGGTGAAAGGTCGTTAATGAAATTAGTTTTTTACCCATCTCTGGGTAACTTTTCCTTCATATTCTTGAGGAAGACGAAGGTAAAACTCTTTTAGGAATGTTTCATGGGAAGGTTTCATTTAAAAGTCATTCTTCGAAAATTATCGAACGTGATAGGACGGTCCAATGTAAAATGCGTATAGGCGGAGCGCTCAAGGGTTCCGGAAGCTCACTGGGTGACCTTTTACTTTCCGGCTCTGTTAGTCTCCGTTCTCTTGTTTTAGACCAGGGGGAAGGATGCTACCAAAAAAACATACAGAAAATATGAACAAAGGTCGACGAACTGAAACAAGAGGAAGAAAGGAAAAGAATATCTTGATCCAGAAACCATGGTCCAAGTGTGCTAGTCGTGCCATTAAAAAGGTTAAACATGTTGCTGCCAAACACAGCATACCAGGCCAGCTCTCAATGCAAATAGAATTTTGCATTTCCAACTGGCCTGGGAGAGTTGACCTGGATGATGTTCAAAGTCATCAAAATAAACATACAATACAAGGAAGTTTAAAATGGTAAGGACTGAGCCTGAGGTCATTGGAACAAAGCAGATTTCAACTTTTGATTGTATATCAGGAAATGAACATACATAGATGTTGTGAGAGAACTCCAGGGGAAAAATCGTTGTAAAAGTTCCAGACACAATTCATGGTGTATAGTTTTTGAACTGCTTGCAAAACGCTTTTCTTTTCCGCTCAGGGAGCAAGGGCAGCAATGTAAGCGAACCACCAAAAATTTAAAAAATCTACGAAAAATGAATCCAATCAAACCGATCACTTGGACCGCGACAAAAACCCAGTCATATTTCCTTTTTTTCCCCCTGGCCATCCAGAATAATGGACTGTAACGGGTAAGAGGAAAGCTCACACGTTAAGAATTGTTTGAGTCCATTACCAAGTGATGTTTTCTTGTATTACCTGCCACAAAAACATTAAGTACAAATGAGTCCGATAAACATTGTAATCTGACAAACGCAAAAAAATGCAGAATTTAATTCCAGATTTAGAACCATCATCAATAATGTCATTACGAACATGAACATTTGCAACCTATTTTGTAAAAGGTTTCATCAAGGCGCTGGATGGCAAATAGGTTGTGTACTTTACAGCAATCTGTTTTCTGGAAATAAGAAACAATTATTTTTTCTTATTTACGTTGTATTTTTTTCTAGGAAAGCACAAAATAGTACCCTTATAGAGTTCAAGAAAGACGAATTTAAAGCAAAAGATTACGATAAACTTTATCAACCACTCACACAGAAAGCTCTCAAGAAATGTCAGGCTAATAAAAGTACTTCGAAATTGGATTTTGTTTTTCCAAAAGATCGTAATTAATGTTAAAAAAAATTTAAAAATATCTCAATCTTACAATCCAGCATTGATATTCCAGTTCCTTGATTCTGTTAGAGACATCAAAACACATTAAAAATATTCGACATCTGATCATATCCTTTTATGAATTTCAAATCCAACTCCAAAGCTAAAAAAACCCATGTACTGAACTACAATAACGGCAAGAATTGGATAACTTTTCAAAGAAAAAATATATAAACGTGTTCCACCTCTGTTATGTGATAAAGGCTTATCGGATCAGATGCCATTACTGCGGTGGCACCGTATGGTACTCACACAAGCGTTTTTAAGTTTGACGCACTAGCAATCGTGCATGTGACAAATCACAACAACCTTTTCGTCGAGAAGGCATGTGACTTGTCAACAAGCGTCGCGCCACCGCAGTAATATCTTCTAATACGGCCGTTTCACAGTAGTGCGCCAGCAAAAGTTTGCAACGCGTGGGCCAATCACAATGCGCAGATATTTGTCGACCCATGCGCGTTCGGAAAGGGTCGACAAATTTCACGCGTTCTGATTGGCCAATGCATTGCAAACTCTTGGTGGCGCACTATTGTGAATCGCTCATATTCCGCTCGCCGAGTGGCACAACATTTTAAGATTGTCTTAAAGTTGAGTTTACTTGAGTTATCTGAGTGCTTTGGATGCCCAACTGCTGTTCTGATATTGTTAGGTTTTGGCTAACTAAACTGACTTTATACAAGACTGACTTGATACAGGATATAACTGACTGGCTTCAATACAAGAAATAAATGTATAGTGTTCAACTAAATAATTTTTAGCTTTCTTATTTCATTTTCTTTTCATTCAATCTTTTAGCATGTGGCTTTGCCTTGAGGCCCACAAGACTTCATGCAAAAGGAAGGACCAGTCACCATCCACTGCAGCGACTTTGCAGGCCTCGAAAAACAAACATACAAACGACTAACCAACAGCAGAACATACACCAATATAACCCAACAAAACTAGACAGAAAGTCTATGCTGCATGTTTATGCAGTGAAAGACGTCTGCTTTGTTACTCGAGCGCTTTCTAGGGAGTTAGGTGCTGATTCAGACGTCAGCTGAAGATCGTAGGACCACTTAGGATGCAGCCTGGGCAGCCGACAGTCGTAGTCACAGCAGATGAGACTAAAGTAGGGCGCCACGACCGCGCGAACTTCCTCTCGTCGAACGCAGAACATGATGAACACGATCACGCCCTAAAATACAACAAATTTGCCTAGTTTAAATCTACGTTCGTTTCTTATTTTTGTATCACATTCAAAAAGCTACGGAAAGTTGTAATCATGTGAAACGTATTGAATACACGAAGTTGAGTGCTAAGTGTCACATCAATTAACAAGCAGAATTATGGCTCCGAAGCATGGTGACATGGTGCTACGAGTGCTCTTAATTTTTTCGTTTTTACCTACTTCTTGCTGTTTCTTATAGTCATGTGTAAACTATTCAGAAGTTACATTCCCCACACCATGTGAACACCGCCCGGAAAGGCTGAATTTTATACAGAATGTTATCAGGGAATTCTGCCAAGGCCCAACAAACGATAAGGCTTTAGCAGAGCTGGAAACGAGAGAAGAAGGGGCAAGCGCGGAGGTGTTTTAGTCAGGATTCGGAGACGCAGCTACAAACCACCGCTACCAACCATTTCCTTGCCAATGTACAGTCTATACGGCAGAAAATGAAAGAACTGGTATGTCATATTGAGCCGAAGAAGGATTTTCTTGACTGTTTAGTGTTTCTGCTGACCCAGACATGATTGGATAATTCTGTCACAGAATCTGATGTGTCTTTGCCTCGATTTACACTATTCAGATCACATAGACAATTTAACCAGGTGAACTAGGCGAGTGTGTTTTTACGTCACTCAGGAGTAGTGTACGCACCCCAGAATTAGAATGCTGTCGATTAAATGCGCTGGCCATTCTGCCTTCTTCAGTCGCTGATTTTTCACTGTTGCTTATTATCCGCCCAATGCCAACAGCCCCTCTAGTATTATTGATCAATTGCCAATTGCAATTTCTAGTCTTGAGGCTCACAATCGGGGAGGGTATGCCATCGTTGTTGGTGAGTTTAACCACTGTAACTTGAAGAAAGTACTACCTAAGTTCTATGAACATGTTAGTGTCATACGAGATAGGACAGGGTTCTGGATCATTGTTATACTAAGACTGCGGATGCGTACATGGCATTACGAAGGGTTCCCCTTGGTGATTCAGGTCACAACATGATTCATCTTGTCTCTAGCTATTGGCAACAGCTGAGAATCACAAAGCCGACTAAAACCTCTGTGCATCTCTGGAAAGCCCCATCTATTGAACACGCTTATTTTGCTTGAACGGACTGGGATGTGTTTATTGACGAGGGATCGATCCACTCAGGTAGTATTGGGACTTTATAGGCTGTTGTCAGAGAAGCAGGTGACAATACGGGCCAATGAGAAACCGTGGTTTAACTCTTCGCTACAACAAGCTCTGAAAGAACGGGACGCGGCCTTTAAGACCAATGATGTCATCATATTTAAGCAAACCAATACAAGTTCCAGATTGCAGTTTAAATAAATTAATAAGTATGCCTAAAGGGAATATAAACAAAAAGTGGAAAAAACATGCTGAACTGTGGAGACTAAGAATATGGAGGAACCTACAGAGAATCGTCCCGTA